CTGCTGCAACTGCAAAACGAAGCTGCCTTTCCAAAACATCCTGATTTTCATACATCTCAGGGTATGTGGTCAGCTTTCTCATAATAGCAGCTACAACTGCATCCCCAGAGCCAGTCCTATCACAAGTGAATGGGGTTATGAGCACATCTTCTGTTCCAATCACAACACCATGAAATGAAGGGGAATAGTAATGAATCCGAAGCGTTCCATCAGTCACGAACAAAAATTTAAGTCCGTCATGCCATAAAGGAGATATTTCTTCAGGCGTGTAATGGTAATAATCTCTCCTCTTCTTGGTCTGTTCAAACTCCTCAGCATAGTATTGGGGCCTGTAATTCCTCTTCCTCACATAATAGTCTTCATCTAGAAGAAATTCCAATTCCTGCCTCGAAACCTCGATTATGTCTGCTTCATTCCAGGCTCTCTCCATATATTTCCTGGTTTCGTCACGCGATTTCCATAGAGGCAATGGCAAATTCACATCGAAAAACACAAGCCCCCCAAACTTTTTTGAATAAGACATTGCTCTCAAAAGGGTCGATTGCATTGAGGGAGATGTCAAAACTTCTGAGCTGAAGTGGAATATTCTGGCCTGCATTAAGACATCAAAACCTATTACAAAAATGATCTTATCCCTGTTTATGGAACAACATCAAACTCCATAAGCAACAACAATCTGAAAAAACAATGTGCTCAAACAAACGATTGCTGCATTCTCAATCAACTGAAAAACCCAAAACCAATGAACCATTTCAAAGACTAAGACAACTAAGCCAAGTTACTTGTTTTGTGAAAACATATAAACAAAACACAATGTATTCACTAATATTTCATACCTCTTTGAGCACAGCTAGGTTAAGTTCTGAGCTGAGCAAAGAGTCTTCAGCTGACTCTTTCAGAGTCTCAGCCCATATTTTCTCATCATCAAACTTAATCTTCATATAAGTACAAGCTGTCTTCGCATTCCTATCGAACTTCACAGCACGCGTCTGAACCTTCTCCTTGTTCATCATCAACACCAGCTCATCCCCAAAATCATCGTCCCCAACTTTGCCCATGAACGCGGCCCTGCCGCCGAGCCGTACGTGCGAAATTGCCACGTTGGACGGCGACCCGCCTGGGGCCCTCACGAACTCCGGCGGGTCCCACTGGAGCATCTTCCACTGCGAGTAGATGTCCGGGTGCATTGGGTTGTCGGAGACCCGAACCGTGGGAACAAACTCTTTCTGCGCGGCGCCGAAGCAGCAGACCAGAGGAGGGTCGTCGTACGGAAAATCGATGCCGTCGTCGTAATCTTCGAGCTCAGAGTCTGGGTTTTCGGTTTGGATTGTGGGTTTGGCAGTTTCTACTGTGCCATTTTCGACCTGGGCTTTTTTCAAACGCTTGGTCTTTTTCAGTGGAGATGTTGCCGAAGAAGATGAAGAAGAAGTGGGACCCTTTTTCCTACCTCGGCGAGTGGGTTCGCTGGACTCGATGCTTCCGTTGTCCTCGCCATTAATGGAAGCTCTGGGTGGGTTTAGCTTGTGTGATTTGGGTGGTTTAAGCAGATAGCGGGGCTTCAAAGTTTGGTGCTGTAGAGGTTCTGAAGGTTTAACAATTAAGTTTCTGGAGCTTGGGCGAGAGAAGTGAAGTTGGTGAAGAGGTAGATATGGTGGAAGTAGCTGAAACGAAGCCATGGTTGAGTGGAGTGTTAGGGTTTATCCATGCTCGTCACCAAACCTCCCTCTCAGTCCCTCTGTAAAAATTTTATCGGGTCGTCATATATTGGACTCAAAAGTCGGGTCGGATCAACACAAAGTGAGGAAATGTTCAAAGCGGTACACGTGGACCATCCTGAACCGTCCGATCAAAAGTTACAAATTCTGACCTGGCTCTGGTTGGGGCTTAAATCGCGATACCTTTCCTTTGTCTCGTTGAAATCAAGGCGGAGGCTTTCAACCGAGAAACGACTTGTTTTCTTCTGTAACTTGTAAACGCTGGTAAGAGTTCAATTCAATTATGTAAAGTTCATGCCTTTCAATTTTGATCAGTTTCCCACTTTGAATTTATATCCATGGTTCGATTTTATCTGTCTGTTTCAATATTGACTGTTGACATAAATCATAAAATACCATCGATCGTTTCTGGCAAAATCCTTCATACCCTGTTCAGGATTTGCACAGTTTCTGCCGGGCCTTGAAATTTTAAAATTGACCCTTTTGGACTCGTTGGCTGAATTTTATGCATGCATGAAATTTCATAAAACTTTTTGACTGATAGTTAGGAACTGAGATGTTGAAGCCTCTCTCTGTTATGCAGATAATGGGGTTGTGGACTTTGCTCCAAGGCTTTTTGCTACTTGCAAATGCATTTGCAGTACTGAATGAGGATCGGTTTCTTGGTCCGAGGGGGTGGACCTTGCTACAAATACAAGGAGGAAAAACCACGCTTAAGGGACAGATCATAGGGTTTATACATGCATGCCAATACTTCAGATTACCTCTTATAGTTTTGAACATCATAACCATTGCAGTGAAGCTAATCTCTGGGTGAAGCTCTGTGTGATTTATGCCTCTTTGTAATTTATGAATTTTGGGCTAGTTAACATGGTTTTGATCCATGGCCTTCGTTGTTGTTGTAGACTATATATGGTTTACTTATTTGAATTGAGTTTCAAAGTTTTCCCCTTTTCACTTCTCCTCTGTTTTGCTTGTTGTTCACAAGAAACACAAGAGAATCGGGATGCAGATAGCTTATTGAGTTGATGGTAGTGTGTTGGTTGAAGTTTGTCATGCTAAAATTAAGCTGTTGGTTACTTTCTTCATCTTTGTTTCTACAAATAGAAGGTCTTAGGTTTGCCCAAGTAGTGAAGGGAGGATGAAGTTCGATTTCCTCCATTGTAACGAAAAAAGGATGGGCATATAAAATTAGTCTACATTTTAAGAGGGGGTGTGAGTACTGAATGTGGATCGGTTTGTAGAGAGGTCCATGAAGCTTTTGTAAGATGATCAGGTGCGGTGTTCATGGCCTCAGCATTATGAGTATGCCAAATTACTTAGTGCCTTATATGCAACTCAATTTGCTAAAGCAGATGTATTGTAAAATGGAAAAACTCTAAATAGTGACTTATATATTTGGCAGAAAATTACATGGCTTTATTTATTTCATACTGAATGTGAACAAAACAGAGCAGCATACAAGAATCTGAGAAACTACTACTCAATTGGGATCATAACCTCATTGGTCCTGAATAGAGGCAAAGCCCAAGGAGGGTTATATCTTGCCATCAAAAACTCCCTCTGCTTTAGCTTCTCCACCTTCTCTATAGCCACACCCCTCACCACCCCATATTTCCTCTCACCGTCCTCCCTAATAACTGTTGGCAAATCCTTATTTAGTCAGGATTTTGGTTATTTATCGTTGGCTATTCTTTATTTAGCTAGGATTTGGATTTTGGTTATTTACCGTTGTCTATTCCTGATTTAGCCAGCATTTTGGTTACTTACCGTTTATACAGTCTTACTTATCAGTTTATATTGTCCTATTGTAATTGACATTTATTTCCTATTTTATATATTTTATGGTTAACACATCTTTATAAAGGGGAATGCTAGCAACCTTCTCTCTAACCTTCTCCTTTGAACCTTCTCCATTTTCCACATGACATGTGTCATTCTCATTACACTTAAAACAATGTCATTAATGCATTACACAAACTAACTTTTGCTTTCCAAGTTTACCCTATCCAATTAATCTATATTATTTTTTTTTGACAACTCTCTTACCATCTTAATAAAAAGTTTTTTTTTTAATTTTAACGTAAGTTATTTTTTTGAAAGAAAATGTCTGCTTTTTAAAACAGAGAAAACGTCTATAATATATTGCTCTACTCTATTTTTATTATTTTTTAATGGTCATGAAGATAAACATTTAGAACAACCCAAGACAAAAGGCTTAGAGGAGAGCCAAAACCTGTACAAACAAGAAGCAAAGACCTTATAAATACCTTCATATTAGAGAAGTCAGGAGACTCCTCTTCCTTCCATGCTCATCAGCAACCTCCCTCTGTAAAATTTTATCGGGACGTCATATATTGGACTCAAACATACACGTGGAGTATTCTCGAGTCTCGACCGTCAGATCAAAAGTTACCAAAGGATTCTGACCCGGCTCGGTTTAGTGCTTAAACCCTTGTTTAGCGATACCTTTCCTTTGTCTCTAAAGTAAACAAGGCGGAGGCTTTCAACCGAGAAACGACTGGTTTTCTTCTGTAACTTGTAATCGCTGGTAAGAGCTCCTATCTACTTTTTGTGTGTGTTTATTTTCTTCTTCTAGAATCGATTCAATTATGTAAAGTTCATGTCTTTCAGTTTTGATCAGTTTCTTACTTTGAATGTGTATCCTTCATACCCTGTTCAGGATCTGCACAGTTTCGGTTTGTGTTGGCTTAATTTTATACATGCATGAAATTTATGAAATTTTTTGACTGATAATTCTCATAAGAATAGTGTCTTTCTTGTTTAGGAACTAAGATGTTCCCTCTTCTCTCTTTTTTCACGGGGTTTGCGACTTTGATCCAAGGCTTTTTGCTACTTGCAAATGCATTTGCAGTACTGAATGAGGATCGCTTTCTTGATCCGAGGGGGTGGACCTTGCTACAAATTCAAGGAGGGAGAACCGCGCTTAAGGGAAAGATCATAAGGCTTATACATTTATGCCAATTCTTGAGATTACCTCTCATAATTTTAAACATCATAGTTATTGTATTTAAGCTAATCTTTGGGTGAAGCTCTGTGTGAATTATGCCTCTTTGTAATTTATATTTGTTATGAATTTTGGGCAAGTTAACATAGTTTTGATCCATGGCTCTACATACAGTTACTTGGTTGAATTTCAGTTTCAAAGTTTTCCCCTTTTCTCCTCTCATCTGGTTTGTTTGTTTGCAAGAAACACACAATAGCTTATTGAGTCGATGCTAGTGTCGGTTGAAGTTTGTCATGCTAAAATTAAGCTATTGGTGAGTCCAGCTTTAGGGTTTATCCATCTTTTTAGTGTTTTGCCGCAGCAAGGATTTAATGGCTTTACTTAAGAGACTGCCTTCAAGCTATATACGTGCGGTAGATGAACTGTGAGAGAAAGTTTCTTCATCTTTCTTTGTAAATTCTACATAGTAAAGGTCTTAGGTTAGCCAAGTAGTGAAGGGCGGATAAAGTTCGATTCCCTCCAATGTAATGAAGAAATGATGGGAGATCGGTTGTTTGAGAGGTACATATAGCTTTTGTAAGATTATCTTGTGCGGTGTTCATGGTCTCAGCAGACGTAATGTAAAATGGAAAAACTCTAAATAGCAGAAAATTACATGTTTTCATTTATTTAATACTGAATATGAAAAAAAACAGAGCAGCATACAAGAATCTTAGAAACTACTCAATTGGGATCATAACCTCATTGGTCCTGAATGGAGGCAAAGTCCAAGGAGGGTTATATCTAGCCAGCAAAAACTCCCCTATAATCTTATACCCATCTCTCTCTAAGCTCTGCTTCAGCTTCTCCACCTTCTCTTCCACCACCTCATCTGTAGCCACACCCCGAAAAGTCACCACCCCGTATTTCCTCTCACCCTCTTCCCTAATCACCACCCTCTCATCCACAGGCCTAGGAGCCTCCTCTGCCTTCTCATACTTGGAAGGCAACAGAAACTCCATTGTCACCATCTTCTTCTCATCTTCAGCACCACCAGTCTTTGTCACAACTGGAGCCGTCATGGCAATTTTTTCAGCTGAGCTTTTGGTTATTACTGGAGCTGTCATGGCGATTTTTTCAGGCTTGGTGTTCTGTGGGTTTCCAAAGGCGCCTATGTAATTGGCCAGCACAGTAAAGCCGCCGTCTTTGTCGCCCTTCATCTGCGATGGATGGTAGGTTAATTGGGCTGTCACTGAAGGTGGATATTGCCGGATTTCATAGTCGATTGTTGATTGAAGCACTTTGTATTTTGGGGTTTCCACTCTTATCTTTCCAAAAACCATGCCCATGTTGGAAGAACTAAAGTTTGCTTCTCTCAGTCTCAGGGTTTTTGAGACGGATATGGTTCTTCAAAGGTGCCTATAAAAGTGTGGATTGTTCTGGTTTTGTATATATCTCTATCTTTGCTTGGGAAGGGGGTTCTTCTTTTTTACTTTTCCATTATTTTGATGTGTTTGCTTGGGGAGAAGGTTGGAAATGTGCAACTGCTCTCTTGAACGAGTGGCCCATTTTGGTGATGAACATGTGGATACAATTTGTCCACCATTTCTTCTTCCCCACACCCCACAATTTGTCCACCATCTAACAGGGTCTTTCTAATATAGTTTCTCATGTGGCAATGTTCGACACGACTCAATACATGAAAAGATAATAGAAGAAAAACAATATCTATTAGGTTATTGCTCTAAAATATTTATAAAACGTATTGAACTGAAAAAAGTTATTGATTGCAATAAATTTGTAGTTTAATTGGTTGAGAGCATGACATTTAATCATGTATTCTCTTGAATTTCATTCTACTCCACCAATGCATTATCACATGTATAACAAGAAAAATATTATGGCCTTCTTTGGTGGGCTAGCCTAGATTGACTATAATGGATTTTTAAGCATTAGATTGGGATGGCTTGGATTTTAAGTACGCATTCAATGTTGCACCCAAAAAAAAAAAAAAGACTCTAATTAAGTTCAATATATATTATTTTTTTTATTTTTTATTTTTTTAACAATAATCACATGCAAATTCCTAACTTTTTGCCTCAAATTGAAGAAAAACCCCAACTTTTTGCAAGAATTAAAACAGAAACTCAAACTCACATCAAGATCTAACCAATGATTAGTTTCCAATCTCCGGTAAAGAAAAAAACAGAAAATCTAAACCAAATCACAATGTTGAGTGCTGGACTGCAAGCAGTCGATGAAATTGTCTCCACTCTATTGCGTGCATTGGAGGATGATCAAACTTTGATGGCCTCAAACAAATCTTAAGGTGAATGTCTCTCACTCCCACTCCCTTACACCTTGTTTTGTGTATGCTTTTTTTTTTTTTTTGGGGGCTAAGTTGCTGCATTTTATGTTTCAGTGTCAGGATTACTGCTGTTTTGCCCCACATCTTACCCAAGCTGCTCCACCTTCCACTTACGTATGTATTTCATTGTCAAAATTACTGTGTATTGAATGACTTCAAAAACAGTAAATTATATTGGGTTGATGAAGCTCCAAACAAGATATCGACCTTCGTTGTCTTGCTCAGTGATTCAGATTCAGCTACTGTGGCGGTATGTGCTACGAGTATTTCATGTTCTGTTATTGACTCCAAGTATGTAACATTGTCTGCTATCTTCTAATCAACAGGTTTCTTGGGAAGCTTAGTTCAGAATAATATTTAAATAGTATAGCCGGACGGCTATCCTTTTCGAATATATGCTAATATTTAAATAGTTTAGCCGTTCGGCTATACACTTTGAATATAGCCGAAATATTTAAATCGTACAGCCGATCGGCTATACCCTGTGAATATATTATAACCTTAAAATCGTATAGTAATACTCTGAATATATCTAACATTTAAATCGCGGCTATACTCTTTGAATATATTTGAATATTTAAATAGTATAGCCACTCCGCTATCCTCGTTGAATATAATCTAATATTTATATAGTATAGCCGCGCGGCCATACTATCGAATATATTCTTTTAAATAGTATAGCCGTTCGGCTATACGATATTCGAAAATTTAGATCGTATAGCCGTGCGGCTAGATGGTTCGAATAGTTTCTTTTATTTAAATAGTATATTCGTGGGGCTATACTGGTTGAATACATGAGAATATTTATTTAGTATAGCCGCGCGGCTATGCCCTTCGAATATATTCTATTGTTTAAATAGTATAGCCGTCCGGCTATACGCTTATATTCTAGTATTTAAATTGTATAGCCGACCGGCGATACGAATTGAATATATCAGAAAATTTTAAACCATGGAGCCGTGCGGCTATACGATTCCGATATATTTTAGTATTTAAATACGGCTATACCCTACTATACGAATATTTTAGGATACATGATCCAGGATTGAGTTATCCCACTTACCAAACAGGTGGTTAGGGTTAACTCCAATCACACCCTCCTTATAAATATTTTCCGAAACCCTTTCGCACTGTCGCTGCTTTGTACAACCCGCAATACCTGCGCCGCCGCCCTTTGCCATCTCACTAACCCTATCGCGCTCTTGTTCATCTTCTTATATCTATCTTATTCGATGGGGTAAGCGCGTAAAGCCAAGCTGGAGTAAATTTTGTTCATCTTTTTAATAATTTCCCAGATCTGTTTTCGAAATTTTCATATTGATTATTCTTCTAGTTTTTATTTAGTATTGTCGAGGATTTTTAAAACGAGCATCGGTGATGATTTTCTTTAATCGTTATCCTTGCACTATGATTGCCTGTGAAGAAAACCATGGGGAAGTTATATTCTGAGATGCTTTTTCTTTTCTATTTGTTTTCTAGTTTTTACGGATTTTTTTAAAGTGGATCAATGATGTTTATCAATACTGCGTTATCTATCTGCAATTTCCCATAAGGAATTGAAGATAATCTGAAGTTACTGAGATCTGATTTTATTTTATTTTTTTAAATGTTATTTTTTCCTCTTCTGTTTTTTTTTTTTTGGGTTAACAGCATCATTCAGTCATTTACATCTTCATTTCCAGATGGTGGATTTGTGACCCAAAAGTCTTTGCATTAGCATAACAGTAAGATTGAATTGGATTTCGAATTTGTCAATCCAATCCAATTTATATTGAATCGGTTGTCAAATTGGCTAATCTAGGTTGGTTCGAACCACGAACACTAATAGCAAAACGAAACTGAATCGACAGATAAAAACTATGAGCATAGCTCGAACCGGAACGAACGAAATTGGGTCTGCCTTGAACACCCAACAATAAAAACAATTGAAAGTTGGGTCAATTGGCCCAATAGCCACATGGGGCGGTTCTCTTGAAAGTCTACATGTTTTTTATCATCTAATATTTGCAATTTTCTCTATATCCTTTTACCATTGTAAATGAAAAATGGGAGATACTCCTTGTGTCAAAATCAAGTTTCACATAGCTCGAGTCTGATGCCTCAAAGCGTGACACTTTATTGATGAGGCATACACTTAGAGCACCTCCAGTGCAGGGTCTTTTGCTAGGCAGGAGGCCCCTTTTGAAGGGTTTGGACCTCCAGCGAGCAACCAGCAGCCCGGGCAAGCTCAAAGGCCTGCTTGGGCTTCAGCCCGAAGGCGCTGACGTCAGCGAGCAAAAAATAATTCAAAAAATTTCAAAAAAAAAAAAATCAAAAATCAAAAAATTATGGATGTTTTCCCAATAAATACATAACAATTTTATTCACTTTCCCTATAAATGCATAACAAGTTTATATTTTGTTGCATATTTTTTCTTTTTTCTTGCCCTTACCCTAGCCTTTTGGGGTGGAACAAAAAAAGGCAAGGTTGCTACTATTCACATGAATAGTAGTAGCAATTGTCTTGCCTTATCCTTAGCCTTAGCCTTTTGGGGTGGACATGCTCTTATAATCTAGGTTAGGTCGATCACCATTACGTGTAAGTTTGTGTTTGGGATATATAATGATTGTAACTCACTGTATCCAAAATCCTAAAGGCTAATGGTAGAGTACTTTATACAGTCTTCTATGAGAATTTGATTTATCACCAACTAGGGGTGGGCACGGTCCGAATTGGATCGGTTTTACCTTAAAATTACGTCTGAACCAATTATAATATAACGATTTGGTTCAGTTCGTTTGGATAAAAGTTATAAAGGAAA